AGGCAAGTAAGACTAGAATTAGCTGGTTTCTGATTTTAACATGCTTTTTAATGTAAGGTTTTATATATACTTGTTTTTAAGCTACCAGATTTTTTAAAAAAATGAATAGTGGCACATAAATACTTTTACACATAAATAAACAACAAAGAGGCCTGTGTGGTGTTTTGGAGTGCTGCTTCTCAGCTGATGGTCACTGCTTCAAAGCCCCAAGCAGGACTCTTTGCAATGAACAAGGGGTTTGCAAAGCATCCAGCTTGGCTTTTCACAAGTCCCTTCGAAGATCAGCCAACTGCAGAGTTCCCCATGCATAACTCTATAGCACAGCTAATCTCAAGTCAGCACCAGTCAGCTGATAGGCCCTGGCTTCCAAGTTCTGCTTTCTGATGGGAGTTACTGTGCTCTGGAGTTCCCTGTGGGTGACTCAGTAGCGCAGCTGATCCCAGCAAACATTCCTTGCCAATGCACAGCCAGGAGTGCATTTTAAGGCTCCCAATTTTGCACTGGCAGCCACATCTACTGTTGCCCTTCACCTGACGTAACAGGAGGCGGCAGGTGTGGGGCAGGTGAGTGTCGTCTAGGGAAAACTGCCTCGTAGGCCCAATTCAAACCCATGCGGGGCCAAAGAAGGCCCATAGGCCGTAGGTTCCCAACCCCCAATGTACACCCTCCTCAGCTCCTTGGAGGAAGGGAAGGACAAGAATGCAATAAATAATACTTTCATCCTGAGACACTAAAGGAAGTATAAGAGCCTGAGGCCAAAATCTGGTTATTTGCATTAGCTTGAGGCCACAGCCACCTCTTCCAGTAAACAGCCGCCCTTCCGTATGGTAATTTGACGTCAGTGAAATTCCAGTACCATTATTAGTAATTTATGTGTATTTGCTCTATAGACCATAGACATCAGATACAGTATAGTGGTACCTCTGGTCAAGAACTTAATTCGTTCCGCAGGTCCGTTCTTAAGTTGAAACTTTTCTTATCCTGAGGCACGCTTTCTCTAATGGCGCCTCCCACTGCACACGCACCTCTGGCACGCAACTTCCGCTCACATCCTGGGGCAAAGTTTGCAACCAGGAGCAGCTACTTAGCGGAGCTCGTAACCAGAAGTGTTCGTAACCAGAGGTACCACTGTATAGGGTTATCATGGCAACCACAGCAGAGAGAAAAATTTAATATACATGCACACAGAGTGTGCCACTGAAAAAAGGCATCTTACAAAGGCTGTGTGTACATCTTTATCTCGCCTGCCCCACACAGGCCAATTACCAGATGTCACCATGCTGTCAGGCCACTTACCAGATGTCACCATGCTGGTGCACTGTGAGGTCCCTCTGGTTGTCAAGAATCCTGTGCTGCTGCCATTGGCATGGCCTTAGCCAGGATTTTTTTTTGGGGGGGCAATAGTTAAGTTTTCCTATTGTTTTACTTGATCTAGGGGGGCAGCTGCCCCTCCCCTCCCCCTGCCCCCTTGGCTATGCCCATGGCTGCCAATCAGCTGATCATTGGCGCTTCAGAGCACTGAGCAGGGTTCTTTGTAAGGAGCCAGGGGCTTGCAAACAGCCTTCAAGGATTGGCTGACTGAGGAGTTAGAACAGCTGATCCCATGGTGCTTTGCTTTCTTGTGGCATATATGCATTTTTAAAATGCAGACACCACCCCAGTCTATACATTTTTGTACCCATTACGTGGCTGGAGAACTGCATTATAAAAGTGCAAATTTCAAAAGATGGCTGCTTTTCGGTTCATATACTGTTCCAGAAAGTAAGTTTTGAGAGGATTTCCAAAGGACACTCAGTTTCATCATAAGTTGCACCCCTCCGCCTCAGTCAGCTCTGGGGCTTAAATAGCTTTGCGGTTTTAAAAAAGTCATCTTTAATATCCACTGTACTAGTTAATCCGCACCCTTCTGAAAGCCTACCTGTCTTCTCTCTCTTCCCCATCTGTTTTTCTGGTGCGGGAGCAGGTCCTGCACCAGCAGTTGGCCAAGTCAAGCACTGGCCAAGCGTCTCAGGGCACATCTCTGGCCTGATCCTGTCATACCACCATTTCCCATCCTCCAAACTGAGCCCCTGGATGTTTTCCAGTAAATCTAGCTAGCTAGCTAGCTAGCTATCATCTACCTATCACATATTTAACCTAACTTTCCTACAAGGAGTTGAGTTTGGCAAAAATTGTTCTTCTCCCCATTTTTATCCTCACAACAACTCTGCGAGGTAGGCTAGGTCGAGACACTGTGACTGGCCTAAGGTCCTCCTGTGAGCTTCATGGCAGAGTGGGGATTTGAACCCTGCTCTCCCAGGTTCTAATCCAACACTCTAACCACTACACTGCACTGACTTACAAATTTACTGTGTTCATAGATCTAAAGTCTGGATGGGATTCCATAGATCAATGGGCTGGAATATCTTAAGATGGTACCATGAATGGGAGCCAAACTTAGTTCCCATTCAAAAATGCCACCCCATGTCCATTGTGGGAGTATTGGGTGGAGGGCAGTGGGGAGTGGTACCAGTGGCGTAGCGTGGGGGGTGCAGGGGGGGCCGGCCGCACCGGGCGCAACATCTGGGGTTAGGGCAAATCCACAGGTTAGGGGGCGCAAATCCACGGGTTAGGGGGCGCAAATCCACGGGTTAGGGGGCGCAAATTACTTGCCTTGCCCCGGGTGCTGACAACCCACGCTACACCACTGAGTGGTACTGCTGCCAAAGCAGAAGTGACAGAGTAGGCATGTAGTGCAGGTTGGATGCAGGTTGGGTGGTGCTGTTGTGAGGCTGCAAGCAGTGCCATGCCTAGACCTGCCCAAGTCTGGTGCTGACCCTGGTGTCTGTGTGTGTGGCCCAGTTGATCTCACTGCCCCTAGGGAAGGTGATCCTGCTGCTTTTCCTCACAGGGTGGGGTGGAGGGGCCCAGCCCAGCCAGTGAAAGAAGCAATAACTGCAGGTGGCACTCCACGTATTCTTAGTGCAACTATTTAGCAAACTTCTCATTAGCAGGACTGAACGGGCCAAGGCAGGGTGTGCTATGGAATGTACACTGTGGCAAGCATCAACCAGCACCCTCGCTCTGTATTTTGTAATGAGTGCATAACCTACCAGCATTACAGGCAGCTGATTCTTAGAAGCATGTGGGGCTGGGCATGGGGAAGCAGCCCAACATCCTCTTCTCTAGGTATGCTGCAACTACCTCAGAGCATAAATGGAATTTCCTCCACTGTGCAAACAGCATGGGACCAGGTGAAAGTTCTTGGCCATGATGTGATGAAATTCTTGTTGCTGATCTCACCCGTTCACTGCAGCTCCACAGTGCAACAGGAAGAGTGTGGGCAGTGTTCACAATGGAGGGAAGTTCTCCGGACAAGCTGTTGCCTAGGCATAAAGGTATTTGAGATTTCAGCAAGTCAGCCGATTGCCTCTGTTTTGCAATTTTTGAAAGTGAGAGGGGAATGGAGGCTAAGTTTTTGTGATGCATAGAATGTTCTTATTATTTAATTATTTTTAATACTGCCCTTCATCCAAAGATCACACAGTGATTTACAAGAAAAAACCCCACAAAAATACACACCATATTAAAAGAAAATAATATGATGGCGGTGACATTTATATCTCACCTTTTCTCACCTTCTCCCCCTCTCCAGTTTGTGGGGTAGGTGAAGCTGAGCTACAGCAGCTGACCCAAGGTCACCTAGTGGGCTTCATGGCTGAGTGGGGATTTGAACCCTGGTCTCCCAGGTCATAGTCCAGAGTTTTATCTGCCTTGTAATTTACAAGTCCTATGGAGAACAGTTGAGAACAGGAATTTACAAATCCTATGGAGTAAGTTGGGACGCAGGTGGCGCTGTGGGTTAAAGCCTCAGCACCTAGGACTTGCCGATCGAAAGGTCGGCGGTTCGAATCCCTGCGATGGGGTGCGCTCCTGTCGTTCGGTCCCAGCGCCTGCCCACCTAGCAGTTCGAAAGCACCTTCGGGTGCAAGTAGATAAATAGGGACCGCTTACTAGCGGGAAGGTAAACGGTGTTCCGTGTGCTGCGTTGGCTTGCCAGAGCAGCGATGTCACACTGGCCACATGACCCGGAAGTGTCTGCGGACAGCACTGGCTCCTGGCCTATAGAGTGAGATGAGCGCACAACCCTAGAGTCTGGCAAGACTGGCCCGTACGGGCAGGGGTACCTTTACCTTTACCTTTATGGAGTAAGTTTAGCTGAGTAAGTTTAGCCTAGAGAAGGGAAGATTTAGTACAGAGGGGGTGAAAATGGATTCACTTTGTATTTAAGGACAAACCTACAGACTTGTACTTTCCAAAACAAGATGTGAACCAAAATCCAGCCAACTTTCAGAGACATGTAGAAGTAGCCGAACGGTTATGCTTATTGAACTATGTGCACTGACAAGAGATTGTTAGATGATCTCATATACAAACTTTGCAGTATAGGAGCCATTGCAAGGGTGTGATATGCTAAAACTTGGGATAAAAACAGAATGAAAAAGATAAGCTGAACTAATTAGGAAAATATGGGAGCAATTAGAGATGATAAAATTAGTGGCAATGCTGAGTCCCTACAAAAGCTTCTGGGGCAACTTTCTTTTTAAAAAAAAGAAAAGAAAAAGAAAGAATCCACTCTAACCTCTTGACTGTCATTTGTTTTCAAGTGATTTAAATAAATTCCAGTGAGTTCAGTGGGACTTGCTCTCAGATCAGTTGTGTTCAGTAATCCCAGCACTGCACTGTTACTGCCCCTTTGGCTCTAGATAACAAAATCTACAAAATGGTCTTCTATGCCTTTGGCACCAGGGGAGTGTCAAGGCTACTTTTTATCCAGTTCTTTTTCATTCTAGGCTGTGTCCCCCAGCAACAGTTACTGTGTAGCTCCATTCATAAAAGTGCGTAAATGACTCGGCTGCTGCTGCTGCTGACTCATGCTTATGAGAGAGTTTCCTAGCCCTGCCCACAAGGCCCTGAGCCCCGCCTCCTCTGGATGGGAGACTTGCCTGTAATATATTTAAACTGCAGCTGGAGAAGGGCGGGCGGGAGAGAAGCAGTTTCTCGAAACAGCCGGCTGGTTCATTCTCTTCTGGCTAGAGGGACACCTGTGACTGACAGGCCTTCCTTGAGGTCCAGCAGACTTTTTCCAAGGTAAGATGACACTGGAAGGATGCCAAAAAGGTTTGCTAAGTTGACTGCCAGTCTGCATTGTAAGAAATAAGTGATTTAAAAAGAGAAAGGCATCAGATAACCAAGAATTCACCCTCGTTCATGCTAGGGGAATTTTTTGGGGGTATGAATCAGCCGAGCAGAAGGGAAGCACTCCTCTTGACAAATGGGAGCAGAGAAGTTTCTGCCTTTTAGAAAGTAGAAGGTGGTGTGGAACTGTGGGAAAATGCCCAGGGGACAGTCTCTCCACTGTATATTCAAAACTGAAGTGACCGGAATCAAAGGAGTGTCTGGCGGCATGTGACTTTGCATTCTTGGGACGCACCTGTCAGACTGGTATGGCTGGCAGAACTTTTTAACCCTCTTGCTTCAAAATAGCTGTGTGCAGGCGGAAAAATGCTTTTGTAAAAGGCTATTTGGGTCCTAATGAAATCACTGGTAGCAGAAATGCTATCGATTACCTTTGCTGTAGTATTTCTAAGATACAGTTTCTTCAACTTGGAAGCATCTCCCTGACTCCAGTGGCCAAACGTGGGTGAGCCTGGCGTGGTTTGGCCAGAGAGAGGTCTCTCTGCTGAGTACGGTTATGTAATGTTATCACCACAGCGGGATATTGGTGCTGGCAGCGGGAATGTGGAATCTGCAGATCAGTTACAAAGGAGTGGAAAGATACCAGAGAGCAATTTCAAGGGATCAAAGGCCAATTTCACAACTCTGAAGTCATCCTGAATAATGAACTCAGGTTTATGTATTTAGCACACTTTTTCTCTGCTGGCAACTATGGCGTGCCATAAAATGAGGACAGAAAGGGCAATATTTCACATGCATTTTGCATTCAGACCGTGTTCTTAATGTACGGCAAGACTTGGCCCTCTTAAGATGTTTGCGGAGTGCTATATGCTACAGCTGAACAAAAGATAGAATTCTTTGTTCTGTTCAAGGCCGTATTTTGTTACCTTTCAAATAATCTGATCTCTTTTCTTAAGCAGCTCACCTCTTGCTAAGCTTATCTTTCTTCCATTAAGACCTAATGCCTCAGGAAATAAATTTCTTGAAGTTAGACAGCTAAATATGGCCGTTCATCATTTCTCACAATGCACTCAATCTAGTGTCTCTCTAGGGTCACTGTGGGAATTAAAAGGGTGTCTAAACCCAGTTGCCCAGTGCTGTCTAGAGCTCTGTCAGTGCAGCTAGGTAAAGCCACAAGGACCCAGAAAACAGGACCCATTTAGTTCCGCATTGCCTGTACTGATTGGTGGGGTTTCAGACTGGGGACATTCCCAGCCCTACCTCAAGACGCCAGACTTTGAGCATGGGACTGTCTGAATCCAAAACAAATGTTCTGTCACTGAGCTATGGTCCTTCCCCAGGGCTAAGCTCAGGCACTGCAGACCTTGACCCCATCTCTAGCTTGAGCCCACTGTCCTTCACCAGAATACCCAGTGGGGATTGTAGATGTCCACCCCTTGTTACCTTGCTCACTGTATAAGGAACATAGGCAGCTGCCTTATACTGAGTCAGACCATTGATCTGTAGTGGCTATCCAGAGTTTCAGGCAGGGGTTTTTCCTAGCCCTACCAAGAGATACCAGGGATTGAACCTGGGACCTTTTGCATGCAAAAGCTGCTGCTGTACCACTGAGCTATGAGTGCAGTCCTTCACTGAGGAACTCTGCTATTCCAAATGCTCCTCAATGCTCCCCTCTAATCCCCTTACTTAACTTCTTTTACCTTGAAACCATCATGGCCAAGCAATTGACTCGTGGGAACCTGGTATGTGACTTTGCAAAGTGGCAATAAGGCACTACATTGTCTGCTTGGGAACCTGCATGCCTCCAGTGATGAGAAATGAATATTCAGGAGCTAAAGGGCCAGGAGGGATAAGGCTGTTTGAGGTTAAGGTTGGCCTAGATAAGAGACCCTTCTTGAAGTGATATACACTCCTCCTCCCAGAGCAACTGCTGTTGACACAGGATTGAATTGTCAAATTTGTTAGTGTGTGCTTCTGATTACAAGGTGACAAGCAGTTAGAAGCTAAGCCATAGAGATAAGAGTGATGGGGCAACATGGAAGATTGCTGCGACCCTGTATTGTAGCATAATCTTACATAGGCAGCTGTCCTTGTGGGATGCATGTAGCTGATTAACAACCTAAAGCATGGGTGGGGAACTGGTGGCCCTCTAGATCAGTGTTTCCCAACCTTGGGCCTCCAGCTGTTTTTGAACTACAATTCCCAGCATCCCTAACCACTGGTCTTGCTAGCTAGGGATGATGGGAGTTGTAGTCGAAAAACAGCTGGAGGCCCAAGGTTGGGAAACACTGCTCTAGATGTTGCTGTGGACTACAACACCCCTAACCCTTGACCATTGGCTATGTTGGCCAGGCTGATGCAAGTTGAGTTCCAACAGCACCTGGAGAGACACATTCCTTGTCCTTGACCTAAGATGAACCTTGCTGAATCAGGCATAAATTGGGGAAGGACTGTAACTTAGTGGTAGAACATGTGCTTGCATGCTAAGGGCTCAGGTTCAATTTTTGGCACCTCCCAGTAGGGCTGGCAAAGACCGCTGCCTGAGAGCTATTGCCATGGATGAGGAACCCGTGGACCTCCAGATGTTATTGGACTCCAACTCCCAGAAGCCCCAATGGTCAGGGATGATAGGAGTCCCAACATCTGGAGAGGAACAGCCTTCCTAGCCTTGTTGTGGACAATATTGAGCTTGGTGGACCAATAGTCCAGCTTGGCTTCCAAAAGCAGTTAGCCAGATGTCCCTGGAAAGTTGACACCCTCGGTATGAAGGCAACAGAGCCGTGCTTGCCTCCAACTTCTGGAATCTGAAATGCAGAGAACGCCATCTTCTGAATATGGCAAATCTATTGTGGTTGACAGCCACTGATCAGTACCACCTCCATGCATTTGTTTAGTTTCTTTCTTTTAAGTCATCCTAGCCAGTGGCCTTTGCATCTTGTGGCAGTAAGTTCCACTGGTGAATTAGGCATTCTGTGGGGAAAGCACTGTCCTTTGTCTTCCCCAAACTCAGTTCACTCAATGGGTTTCATTGATCTCTGCTATTGTGTGTGTGTGTAAACTTTCAGTTGGATGGTTCTGGCAGAAAGCCTTAGGTCTGTGACTAAACCTGCCAATTAAGTTACATGTGACTAACAATAATCATTCTAACATAATGGATTAATATATTTCACCTGTCCCTTTTATGAAGATGAGTCAGACAAGGAAAGCACCCCAAGGAGAACATAGAAAGTGAATCATAGCTACATTATGCCTTCTGTGTATGTTCAGTCACAGTTCATACCACTCGAAGTTATTTGTTCTTCATCTCTTACACAGATTGAGGAAAAGGAACTAATCTTTATATGTAATGAAATATATGGATTTGAGCACAACAAACTGAGAAGCCTTGGATATTTTCCTTACCCCAGACTCCTAAGGCTAAATTGGATGTGACCAGTGATTTTGTGGTTTGTTTGGGTTTTTCTTAGAGAGAGAGAGTAGAGAATTGGAAACCCCCTTGTGGCTGTTTTAAAGGCTGGGTAAGTGGCTTCCCTTGCCCTTATCGAAATCACCTTCTCCTCCTCCAAATTAGCTGTTAGCTCTCAGGATGGGGCAGGCGGGCAAGGAATGGCTAAGATTGGGAAAAGGGCAGTGAAGGAAAGGGCTGAACCTCCTCTCCCAGCACTACTTCCCCAGTCTTCAAAGAAGCTATAGGAAACCAATGCGAAAGGTCCTAATTGAAGATCTCCTGTAGGCCTATTCAACCATTCACATGCACACACTCACAGAACTGCGTGGTGCTGGCCCCATTTCTCCTGTCACTTCCTTGTTGCCCATCCCCAGAATCCACCTCGTTGGGGGCTGAAGCATGTGATTAGGAGCCCCCTCTGCTTTTGCTAGTGTTTAAAACTTTTAAGACCTTGGGACCATTTTACTTGATGAATGATGGTGATGGTTTTGATTTATTCCCCGCCCTTCTGCCTGAGGTGCCAGGGCAAGTTGTAACAATTTGAAACCCGCCATTAAAAACAGTTTAAAATGAGTTACAGTCACAAGAATAGGGCAGGTCCTAAAAATATAATTTCTCAGGGGCCAAAGGCCAGTGTAAAGAAGTGGGTCTTCATCATATGATGGAGACTGTATAGTGAAGGTGACCAGCTCATCTGTGGGGAGGGATTTCCACAGAGAAAGCCCTCTCCAGGCCTCCAAACTCACCCTGAACTTCTGAGGAAGGTGGAACTACCAAGAGGTCCCCAAGAGGTCCCGTGGGGATTTCCATATGTGCCCACTTGACTGCTTCGGTCTGCAGTACTCCCACTTCTCCAAATGTGTCTTAATGCGCATTCTGCCCTCGCAATGAATTTTTAACATGACAGTATCTATGCTCTGGCATGAGCTGCCTAGTGATGCCAGACAGTCGCTTTCATCGCCCACTAAAAACTTTTTTGTCTAGGCAAGTCTATCCAGACATGATTTTGAAATTATGTATTCATGACTGCCGATTTTATCTACATTCGGAAATCTTTCTGTTATGTCTACCTGTTTTTAATGTTGCTTGATTTTATCAGCATTCTCTTATGAATATTTTTAATTAGTTTATAAAATAATACAGAGCATTTTACTTGGAGGGCTTTTTTTCAATTAAGCAATCTATACATCTTGTTAAGGAAAAATAAAGAAAAAATGTATGCTTCATAAGAAGAGCCTGCTGGATCCGGCCAATGGCCCATCGAGTTCAGCATCCTGTTCTCACAGTGGCCAAAGAGATGCCTGTGGACTCCAGCACAAGAGCACTGTCTACTCCTGTTGTTTCCAGCAACTGGTATTCCAGTGTGATCTAGAAGCTGGTTAATCAGGGTTCTAGTTTGTGAGTGTGGAAAGCCTCCTTGAGTATGGCATGCTTTCATCTGCAGACGTTCAGTAGCTCATCTCCAAACTTCCCCTCATCTTGTGAAGGGCATAGTGCCTCAACAGGGCTTGTGTCACACACCTAGTTTAGAACTTGGCTTCATACAATTTTAAAGCAGTGGCTGTATTTTTCAGCCTGGTAGCCCTGAAGGACACCACATTCTGCCTCCAGGTTACAGTAATGCAATGACTTTGAGGAAGCCACATGCCAAGCCCAGGGCTACTTGCCAAACTTATGGGGAAATGTTATTGGAAAGTTGTCAAAGTTCTTTCTCCACTCAGTGAGAATAGCAGAAGTGCCTGATTCAATGAGATGTGCTCTGGTGACTAGGCACCTCCAAAAAGAAGAGTTATTTCAAGAATTTCTCCCCCAGCTCACCCACTCCCTTCTCCATTCTTGAAGCTTTGAAGATTCTTTGTTTTCAACAACTCTGGAAAAGCAAAGAGAAGAAAACCAGGAGAACCTATAGCTTGAATTTGGTTGCATTACTACCTTTGGGTTGACTTAAACATTGCTTGTAGTTGGAAGAATGACCTGCTTCTTGGCTGGTGGTGATGGTGGTAGTTCCGCATAGAAGTGATATTGGGCATCGTATAAGCTCTAATTTCCCATGCAAATACAGTGGTACCTCGGGTTAAGTACTTAATTCGTTCCAGAGGTCCGTACTTAACCTGAAACTGTTCTAAACCTGAAGCACCATTTTAGCTAATGGGGCCTCCTGCTGCTGCGCCTCCGGAGCACAATTTCTGTTCTCATCCTGAATTTCAGTTTTTAACCTGAAGCACTATTTCTGGGTTAGCAGAGTCTGTAACCTGAAGCCTATGTAACCTGAAGCGTATGTAACCCGAGGTACCACTGTAGAATTGCATGAGGGAGTTTGGGGTTGAGACCTTCCTAGCTCCCCCCCCCCCCAGTGTTGCTGTCCTTGTTGTACAGTGTCTGCACTGTAGACCCTACTATACTCATGTCGGTGTGTAGATGAGGATTCTAAATTGCTCAGGATTCTCAGCGGTTCTTCAGAAGTTCTTCCTCTGACAATGAGGAACTGCAGGTTGCGGAAAGCTGGGGTGTCAGAGGCCTCCTAAAAAGCACTTGAATCTCACCTTTCGGAGTGGGGAGAAAGACCCAATATGCAAATTCAAAAACTGGAGTGGACATAGCATGCAGAATTCTTCCATTTTAAAAAATTGGTTGCTGGTGGTACTTCTTTCTGCTCTTACATGCACATAAGTAGTTTTCCACCATTATCAGGGTGGCGGGAGAGGACAATGCTCTGGTGATAACAAATATTTGCTTGGCTTTATTGTTGCAGACTGACTTGGAGGACCTCAAACTTTGCTGGTGGAGATTGAGCAAGCGCCCAACCATGTTGCATGCACATCTGGAGCAGAGCAGTGCCAAGCCTCTTCCTGTAGTGATCATAGGTAAATATACACTCTGGGGAGTAATCTGCATTGGCCAGGGCTCTTTATCTCGCCAGGCCACCATGTGCTCAGCAGCCTCAAGCTGCAGTTCCAAGAGCTATAATTAAAGCAAGAAGTGTCCTGGTATCCCCCCTCCCTTTTTGCTGCCAACACAAGCTTGCTTACTGGAAACAAATGGGGTTGCAGTTCTTTGCATGCAACGGGAATTCGCTGGGACACTCCCCCCCCCTACAGGGACACAGATTGTGGGAAACAGAAGAGTTATATAAAAATGCAAAGGTTTTACCCCCAAAGAGAAACGTCAACAACATCCAGATTAGGACAATCCTTTTATTAAGCAAACCAAAATGTTATGAAAGCGCATGCAGAGTTTTGAGATCTCCAGATCCCTTGATCACAATAAGGGGATGGGAATTGGCTGATACTGGAGCCACAGGAGGGATTTGCATTTAGGCAACAGCCTTAAGACTGAATGTTAGAGGAGAGAGTGGAGGCATTCAGATGAGGCTTTGCTGAGTGCTTTGAGGTCTCATGAGGGACTGCTGACAAGGAGAGGCAAATAATAGTTGAACCTTCATATTTTTGGAAATATAAAATCCAGATGTCTCCATTGTTAGTCACGGGAGTGGGGGGAAAATTTGGGTCGGTTCCATTTTAATGTGAGCCCACCTAATTTTCACTTCCCAAAACTATATGTGAAGCAAAACACAGCTGTCCTTTGAAATTCACACTTCTCCAAATTTTGCAATACAGCTCCCCAATTTACAAACATTTTATGCACAAAAATGTGTATATGAGGAGGAAGTCTGACAAAAATGCATATATTTCTGAAGATGGCATGAAAATTGTATTATAACTGGTGAAACTGATTGCAATAAAGAGGAAAATTATGTGCAAAAGTATGCATATTAGGAGAAATGCACACTAAAATGCTGCCATGTATTTTGTGAGGACCTAAAAATATACCGGTATATATGCTGGTGTGGAAATGTGACAACAGAATTTAAGATTGGAAAACAGCAACTGAGAGAAACAGAAATTGACAGTTTTGTCCATCCCTATGAAAAACAAAGATTCCTCAGTAGCGACAGAGAAATTAGGTGGATTTTATATTAAGGAAGCATTATGTAGGAAAACTGTTTGCTGCTCATTAGTGCTACAATTACTAAGACAGGGGTGGGAGGTCTGACTTGGTCTAAGCTTCCCTTATTCCACCTCTGTTGCTCAAATACTTCACCACCCTTCTCATCTTAATTGTATGAGCAAGCTCAGGAGTAGCCAAGGTGGTGTCTTCCAGATGTTTTGGGCCACAGCTGCCACCATCCTCAGTCAAAATGGCCAATAGCCATGGATTATGGGAGTTGTAGTCCCTAACATATGAAGGGCACCACATTGCTGCCCTGAGCCAGGCTGTAAATATTCTTTTCCCTGCACAGAAGGCAGAGAGGGAACTTCGAGTATTTCAGCCCACTGGTTCTTGACTACAGCCTAATTGCCTGCTTACCTCCCCTCCTTTCCTTTTCTCCCTCTCCGCTTTCAGCAGTTTAAAAAGCTTGCCAGCCCTTATCTGTGAGCATCTAGCTGCTGGCTGTTCAGAGGTTTGTTTGTTTTTGTTTTGCAAAGAGGAGCCTTACATAAGCTGTACTATGCAGGCTCAACTTCAGATGAGAAGCAGGCACTTACAGTAAATGCAGTGGGTTTTGGCCATCAACTTTACTGGACCAAATTGGCCATAAATGTTCTTTGCAGCCAAAGATGTACCAGTGTGGGCTCAGAAGTTTCAGCTGGTCACCTGAGCACCCCACAGGCTTTGGATAGCACGGAGGTGGATGGCGTCCCTGCGAATATTAAGTGTCTGTGCCTGAGACCTTCTTTGGTTGATGCTAAGCAGGGAGGGGAGAGGGAGCACTTTAAATATAGCTCCTTGAGAAATCTCTCCTCCCAGCTGGCTTTTACAATGTGGTGACTGTGCCAAATGGCATAGGGATACTAATGCTCTGATAGGTTGCTGTGTCACCCTAACCAGCTTTCTTGCATTATGCAGCTGTTGGTTTGGACACATTCTAGTGAGGAACCGAGCTTCAAAAAGTGGCAGATGGTTAGACAAAGGCCCTGTAAAATATTAATCCAGCTCAGAAGGAGGCTGGGAGACTGAACCCTGTGGAAACTCTGCCTGAAATAGTTATTGGTTTCCAAGGCTGGCTGAAGATGTTGTTACTTTTGTTCTAAATTCATTAGGTGCCCAACAGCTGTTGCTCCTTAGGCGCCGTGGAGGGAAAAAATAAAAGCAGGATAAAAATGGCAGAACCTGACAATGTGCAGCATGAAGGCAGCGTTGAATGATTGCAAAAATGAAGCTTGAAAACATCACAAGCAGCGAAACCAATTTTAAAATGCTGGCGACTAAAAACACATTTTTTAAAAAAACACAGCATAGATTATATTTGGTTTTCAGCACCAGCCTTAGCCTTTCAAAGATTTTGCAGTAGCAAACATTTGACAGCAGAATCCAGAGTGTGATAATTGTTGGGAATTAATTGGAGTGTACTTCATGACTTACGTAGTTTTATGAAAGTGGCTATTTTAGGAATATATGAGACTTAATCTGTTGGACAAAAAGCACAGTTGTCAAACAGTAGATAACCAGCAAGCAGGAGTGCTTGCTGGGTGGGGTGGAGCTGCCATCGCAATTTCCCATCAGGTGGACTGTTTCTTGCACCTCCATGTCATCTCACCCCTTCCTCTTCCGGTAAGCAACAGCAACCCTTCTGCAGGAAAGCTGCTGTTGCGGCACTATACCACCTGCCATATCACATTGGATAACAGGGGCTGGCAGGTGGCAAACTATGTGTGATCAATTTCTGGAACCCTGTGACTTAGAGGGAGAACATTTGATGCTTTGCCTCCAGCAGCAGAATGTCTTGGGCCTGTTTGATGAGCAGAAGAACCTTTGCCTCCATCTCTGGATAACACACTGTGCCTTATGGAGCCATCTAATTTCTCTTTCAGGAAATGGCCCTTCGGGGATCTGCTTATCCTACCTACTGTCTGGTAACATTCCCTATGTCCGAAGGAACCCTGTTCATCCTAATCCCATTCTGCAAAGGAAACTGGAAGAGACACCTGAGGTTTCCATCTTAGACCAGGTTGGTACAGCTCCCAGCACCCCTGGTTCATCCTTCAACAGAGGGAATTTAGGCTCTAAAATTATTCTCTACTTTAGAGCAAGTGAAGCATGATCTTGGCCCTGTTAGGGGCAGCCTTGTATATTAAAGCAATTGCCTGGTAGGCACCAATGAGGCACCCACCTCCCCTATGTCAGGTGTGAGATGACTAAAGACACAGCTGGGCCAAAGCAAGGGTTGTAGGCACCATCAATCAGCTTATTGGTAGCACCAGTACTTTGTGAGATAGTCCTCTGCAAGAAGCAGCTATTGGCTAATTGCCGGGGCTTGCCGAGGTGCATGGTGCTTATGCAAGTCCTGACAATTGTCTGATCACCCACATGGCAAAAATGGCTTGTCTCATGCCACTGTGCTGTCAAGTGATGGAAACGTGGATGGGGTGGCCCACCTGTCAGACGTGGCCTATGAGGTGTTTATGTGTGAAGGAGATAAGGACCTCCGTTCCTTATCCATGCATTAAATAGTGTGTCTGGGGTATAAGGAGTGCCACTTAAAATAAACAGGAAAGGGATTGTATATTCATCTAGCATTCATTCATTCATGGCCCACTTTTTTCTCCAAGGTGCTCCAGGTAGTACACATGGTTCTCCCCCTCATCATTTAACCCCTGCAACAACCCTGTGAGGTACTCAGGCTGAAAAGCAATGACTGGCCCAAGGTCACTGAGTGAGCTTCATGCTAAGTGGGGATTTGAACCCTGGTCTCCCAGGTCCTAGTCTGACACTCTAACCACTATGCCACACTGGATCTCGAGATGACTGCCCACAACTAGGCCTTCTGAATCCAGAATTTGTGGTGATTAAAAGATTGTGTTCATCAAGAGTTCTCTCTTTCCCTCCAGGATATTGAGTACCTATCTGAAGGTCTGGAAGGGCGATCCTCCAGCCCAGTTGCTCTCCTTTTTGATGCCCTGATGCGTCCAGATACTGATTTCGGTGGGACTGCAGATTCAGTCCTTGCTTGGGCACATCAACCTGACAGAGCCATTCCTCATCTGGTTCTTGGCAAAAACCTTCCTGGAGGAGCCTGGCATGTAAGTGCAATTCTGTATATTGGATCCTTTAAAACACTGGCAACAGTTTGTTGACCCATCTTAAAAGTGGTTGGTCCCTTAAGGCTCAACCCAAGCTGATCTTTTCATCCATGAGGGATGACCCATCACAGGAGTCAAGAAGCTTTTACAACCCAAGGGCCACATTACCTTGTAGAGAACCTTCCAGGGACCACATGTCTGTAGGGTGTGGGACCACAGGCAAAAGTGGGCAGGGCAGTGGGCATGGGTCTTACCTTTGAATGATAGGGTAATTTTCAGCCACACAAAGTCAGAGAGCTATACCCACAGCTCTCTATCCCCAGCAAGCCAGCGACATTACCACACTTTCAGGACCTGTTCCACCCAGGCAAAAGCTTTCGGGGGGGGGGGCAAAGCAGGCTTGGTGAGAAGGCCTGGCTTGGGAAGAATCCCAAGAGCCTGAGGGGGTGTATTTGGCCCCTGAGTTTGAGGTTCGCCACCCCTGGCTTATTGCAATCTGCAAGATGGCTAGACTTTTCCAGTTCAGGGCTGAAATATGTCAACTAACTATGGAGTTATGGGATGTGCTTGAACTGCAATTTATCTGAACAAGTTCTGAGCTGTTTATATGTATTCCTGCTCTATCAGTGAACTCCAGCAGGAAGAAATAATGGTAGAAAGCATGTGCTGGATTTGCTAGACATAAGCCAATTTAGTCCCTGTGGCAGGTTTCTAGATGTTTTGGACCACAGTTCCCATCAGCCCAGGCCAACACAGCCATGTGGGTTAGGATTGATGGTAGTTGAAGTTGAAACATGTGGTGGACACTCCGTTGATGAAGGCTACTCTGTGGCTCTGCATATTTATGACAAGCCAAAGGAAGACTGAACATTCCACTTAATCTCTTGCAACACCCACATTTATTTTTAGAACAGGCAAAGGAATTAAAGGGGTGGCCAGAGACCCCATGAGACTTGCTACACTGCAGTGCAGTTTTCATCCACCTCCAGCCACAATTCATTGATTTATGTGATATCTTCATTCTTTTTTTAGTCTATCGAGGGATCCATGTTCACACTGAGCCAGGGAGACTGGATGGGGCTTCCTGACCTGCAGTTCAAAGACTGGTTGAGTAAGAAGAAAAGGTACGCTTGCTCTTGGATGAAAATAATCAAATGAGAAGCTTTACTTATTATTTCTTGCATTTATATCTCACCTTTGCTCCAAGGTGCTCATAGTTCTCCCTCCCCCATTTTATGACAGCCCTGTGAGGTAGGCTAAGTTGAGAGACTGCCCCAGGCTGACCTAGTGAGCTCCATGGCTGAGTGGGGATTCGAACTCTGATCTCCCAGATGCTAGTCCCACACTCTAACCATTGCCTCACAGTGGCTCCGTACTTAGTAGGCCCAGTAGATCCAAGGCATCATGTTACCTGTCCTATTATGACCATCCATGATCAAAGAACCTCTTGACTGCACAAAAGCAAATAAATGCATGTAAAAAAGTCCTCCTTGTTGCAGTCTAGTCACTGTGAAGGAATTTTTTCAAATGCCTTATTTGGGATGTCTTGCAGGAGGCACTATTTGGCTGGTATGGGGAGGAAAGGTGGCTTTGCCTCTGCCTAGCGTTTTGCTTGTAATCCACCCAAAGCCCTCTGGGTAAAACTGATTAACTGTAAATGGGATGTTCCACCTCAGTTCTGCAGGTGCAGACTGAGTCAACAAGCAGTCAGTTGAGTGTACAAGCCCAAACACAAAAGATAAGTAGAACAAAGATGCAAAAGGAACTACTGTAACCTTGAATACAATCCACAGAATTTGATAACTGGGTGTTCTTTTCTGTGGGCTGTAGTTATCATGAATTCTTTTCTGTGGGCTGTAGTTATTATGAATTGGGCACCTTGCAGTGAACTCCACTGAAGCTGGCTGTATTTTGAAGTAGAAGCGCAGGCAGCTGACTTATACCAAGTCAGAGCAAAGGTACCCCTAGTTCAATGCTGCCTACACCAGTGTTCTTCAGCCTTGGTACCCAAATGTTGCCCCATCATCCCTTGTTGGCTAAGGGTCATAGACCAGCATGCTCCAACCTTGAGGCTCAAGACATTGTTGGACTACAATCCCCATAGTCAGTGATCAGGGATGATGGGGGTTATAGTCCAGTGATAATTAATGATCCAATGTGGAAGGTAGGCTGCTTTAAAAGTTAAAATGTGTACCTTGAATTTGCCTCAATGACACCTTGGTGAGCAATGCAAGGTAGTGAAGATTAGCCTGAATAAGTTGCCATAGGAAATGTGTTCCTTGATCATCTGTCTGTACTGATAGTCATATTCTTGTTACAGGGGCTTCAGAAATAACAGGGCGACTGCAGGAGACATAGTCCAGTATTATCAGTACTATGTGGCAAAGAAAGGGTTAAAGAAAAACTTTCGCTGTGGAACTCTTGTGACGTCTGTAAAGAAACTGAGTGTGGATGTAGACTCCTGCTACAACAGTCAAAATCCACAAACCAACCCCCAGGTAGACAGTGGGAGCCTCTTCCAGGTTGATGGGTTTCTCACGACGGTCAGTGGTACACAGCCCTTCTCTGTGTATGCGGAAAATGTGGTTTTGGCCACAGGGACATACGACAGCCCATCCCGCTTAGGGGTGAAAGGAGAGCACCTTCCATTTGTCCACCACACGCTCTCCGCCCTTGAAGAAGCTGTAAAGAACAAGGAGATTGGCATGATGTCTGACCCGATCCTGATTGTTGGCGCTGGGCTCACTGCGGCAGACGCCATCCTCTTTGCTCACCATTGCAACATCCCAGTGATCCACGCCTTCCGCAGAAGGGTCAACGACCCAGCCCTCATCTTCAACCAGCTCCCTAAGACAATGTATCCCGAGTACCACAAAGTCCACCAGATGATGAAAGAGCAGGCCATCCCTTACCCGGGGCCATATGAATGCTATGTCAGCCTTCCTGAGCACCACATTGTCACCTTCACAGAGGACAGGAAATGCATCTTTTGCGATAAGAGTGGCCGCCAGAAAATACACAACATCTCCATGGCTTTTGTCCTCATCGGCTCCAACCCTAACCTAACCTACCTGCCCAACAACGGTGTGGACTTGGCGGTGGACTGTGAGCAGCCGGTCAGCTCCAAGAGGAACCCCATTGATGTTGATCCCTTTACCTACGAGTCTGTCCACGAGAAGGGACTCTATGCTATGGGACCATTAGCTGGGGACAATTTTGTGCGGTTTGTGCAAGGTGGTGCTTTGGCGGTGGCCAGCTCTCTCCTGAAGAAGGCCAACCCCAACCCGCCATAACACTTGCGGACATTCCCCTTAGAGAAAGACCCACGTCAGCCTTTGAGAAGAGGGGGACTGAGCACATGCAAGTCTACCAGATATGAAATCTCTCTATTGTAGCATTCGGTAGGTCTGCTCTGAAAGGCCAGGTCGCAGATTCAAGACAATGTGCTTGCGGGACGTTCGCTTCTCAAGCTGCCACATGCCCAACCTTTTCTCCCTGCTTTACAAGTTGGGGAGGCAGCTCTATGCAGGCTTTGGCACACAAGAAGTGGAAAGGTGCTGGAGCAACTGCTGGTTTCTGAATACTCAGAGTGAAATTGGCAACAGGGTCTTCTTTGAATGTAGATAAGTGTTCGCATTTATTATGTAGATTTCTCTAATCTTCACTGTCCCATTAAAAAATACCATTCTGAACAGCTGTGAAATAGAAAGCATCACTCGAAAAGAGTGTGTGACTTGGATCCAAAGTTGCACAAAGCTGTAAAATTATTTTTATTTTTTTTAAAGCCAGGCAGCGCCTGCGGGTCTCAAACCGCTGGAAGCGATTAGGGGATCTAAGCAATGCTTTGGTTGATGGAACCGCTGGGCTGAGCTAGCTGCTTTATTTATTTATTTTGATACACTAATGGTGCCAAGTGGGTTTTTCTTGGGCCCATTTGGCAGTAGCCCCTTATTCCCCCAAAGTCCCACAAACTTTGGGGGGATCCTCTAGAGTACATTTTCAGGAGCGTAAGAAGGTTCTGCAGCTAATTGGCAAGTTCCTAAAGGCTCTAAGGACATAACCTGCTTTTGTGGGTTTTCTAAGGGCATCCTGATGTTGACTATTGTGTTGTAGCCCAGCCTTCTCCAACCTGGTTCTTTCCAGATGTTCTGGACTGCAACTCCCATCAGCCAAAGCAGCACAGCCATGCTGTCTTTGGCTGATGGGAGCTGTAGTCCAAAATACCAGTAGAGCACTAGTTGGCAAAGGCTTCTGTACCTGCTGCCCACTGCTCTCCTGCTCTCCTTTAGAGGTGTGGATTTTGAGTAGCCTAGCTAAGCAATCGTGGATGCAACAGCTGAAATCTCAGGAAATCCTTCAACACCCCCTTGTTGACTTTAGGTCTACATGCTGAATTTTATAAACTTAAATTTTGCTGGTTTATAAGCAAAAGGTTTTTCAAAAAGATTTTAAAAGATTATATATATATATATGTGGAGTATTTTTTTGTATACTGTTTTTAAATAAAAATATTTTGGCATTTTACAAGTGTGTAGTCTCTCCACCCTTAAGCAAAGTTATTGACCCAAATGTGTTCTGTTTAATGGGGATGTATGTAGATTATTCATTGCCAAGGTCAGTGCCTAGCTGGGACACAGAGTACCCAGTTAGCAACATTTTCAACCAGGGAAAGCCAGCTGTAATTTCTGTTTTGATGCACTTGGGTGGCTTAAATAAGTATCTAGGGATCACATCTCTTTTTATCAGGTAAGATCTGCAGAGCAAACTATTTGTGCCTAAGTTCCTGAATTGCTCCTTTAGCACAGCCAACCTTGGACAGGTTTATCCTTAAATAACACACCTGAACTTGTGTTAACTTCTGAGTTTACACATTTGAGTGGAGGAAGAGAAGCTATAGTGAGCTGGAAGTCAACCAACCCATGCAAGCTCTTGACCTCATGAATCTCCTTCAGCCATATAGAAGAGGGAAGTGAAACAGAAAATCTGAGCAGATTTGACCACCACACTAGAGGTCAAATGGACTGCCTGGTGGTTGGATCTCTGACTCAGTTGCCAAAGTTTAACACAGAGAAAGAGAAAGAGATTTGGCTTGGCTGTGTTTTCTGTCTGACTTACTGTGCATGCTTTAACTTGTGTATTTTTTTGCATGCACTTTAGGGTGCTGGTTTGCTGAGTTCAGTCCCAGCTACAAACGCTTGAGGAATTAGATACAGTTGTACCTTGGGTTACAGACGCTTCGGGTTACAAACTCTGCTAACCAGGAAGTGGTTGCTCCAGGTTAAGAACTTGGCCCCAGGATAAGAATGGAAATTGCGCGCCAGTGGCAGTGGGAGGCCCCATTAGCGAAAGCACACCTCGGGTTAAGAACCGTTTCAGGTTAAGAACGGACCTCTGGAACGAATTAAGTTCTTAACCCGAGGTACCACTGTATTTGTATCATGCCAAATTATCAAATTAGGAGGAAGCTTCCATCCTGTCTTCACCAGATGACCTGGCCAGGATGGAGGTAGGGGAAGCTGGTCAAGTCAGACTCTGCTCCTCCACCTCCTGAGACCAAGGATAGAAGAAAAAAAAAGCATTGGCAGAGCCAGCTGGGCTGGAGTCAGAGGGAGATTCAGAAGGTTGGATATAGGTCCTGTCACCAGCATGAACAGATCACCTCACTCCCTGAAGTAGCACTTGCTTGCAAGCAGTCTTCTCACTTGAGGTGAGAACTGGTGTCCCCCTTTTCTTTGAAAGCAGAGTGGGAGGGGCGTGCTGGGACAGTGTATTTCCTTAGCCATGTATCCTAGAACTCAGCTTATGAACCATTGAACCACATATCCTGCACTTGGAACTGACACTGAGAAGATGGGTTGATTTTATCTGCAAAGGATTTGGGGATTTCCCAAGCTGAGAGCAATAATCTTTCATCCAAGGAGGGAGCCAGGGCAGGAACTACTTTCAGGTGCAGTTTGGAGATCACTGAACCAATTGAGTGAAAATGGTTAAACCAAACTAGTTCATTCCAAGCAGTGACCCAGGCCAGAGCATGTAAAAATGACACTGGCTGGACATTGGCAGACTCATCCATCCCTAATCTCAGCAAGCCACTTCACACAGCGCAGCTTGTATAATGGCTCCACAGCTGCACTCACAGGCTTGGGAAGCAAGGTGGTTGCTAGTAGGTGGAATTTCTTGCTGCGGGGCTTTGTGCTGACCTCTGCTTTCCTTGGCAACTCTATGTATGATCCGCTCCAAGCACCGTCTCCTGGCCCCCACCCAACTTCCAGGATTTCTGAAAGTGAAAGTTGATACATTTAGCATCCTGCAAGGGTCAGGCATTCCACAAAACTATGGAACTATTTATTGGGACACATTACTCCAGGTGGGGTCTGACCAAGGCAGAATAGAGTGGGACTGTGACTTCGCCTTGACTGGGATACTAGATTTCTGTTGCCACAGCCTAGAATAACGTTAGCTTTTTTTGCTGCAGCTGCATCACACTGTTGACTCATGCTAAGCTTATGGTCTACTAAGACCCATAGATCCTTTTCACTTGTACTACTGGCAAGTAAGATGTCCATCATCTTAAATTTGTGCACCTGGTTCTTCCTGCCTAAGTGTAGAATCTTACATGTGTCCCTATTCAAACTCATTCGTTTTTGCCCAGTTCTCTAACCCGTCAAGATCATCTTGAATCCCAATTCAACTCCTTCAAACAGAGGGCCATCCTCTGTAAAACAGGACACTTGGCCACCCTGACCTCAAGCTAAGTGCAAAACCATACCCCTGATTTGCTCTGAAACTAGAGAAATACAGTACCTTTTCTCTTTATACTAGCCTATCTCCATTCCAGGAGCCACAGTGAAGTTCATGAACTGTAAATTTCCATCGTTGCACCACATTGGCTTCCCAACTGCCTGCGCCTAAAAAAGAAATAAGAATAAATAACTGGGCTGTAGGCCTTTGCTAAAAATAGATGCTTTGGCCAACTCTCAAATTCCTGCATCAGCAAGGACTGTAAACCAGTGTGTCTAAATGAGTGGGGTGGGGATATGGGTATTTATGGAGATGACACTTGCTGATTCCCCCTCTGCCATTCAAGCCCTTGAAGCTGAGCGTCATCTCCTCTTCATACAGAACATTCCAGTCTGAGCGATCAAGTCACAGCTAGGTGGGCAGCCACAGATCAGCAGAAGCAGACCTGTGCATAGTTGCAGTGAGGCTACGGCTGTGTTTCCTCACCTTCTTGCAGAGTGCAATATATGCAGAAATATATTTTCATGCAAAATGCAAGTGGGACTAGGAAGATGTTAAGTGGGAAAGTCATATCCCCAACACATCCAGTGTTCCTTTGTTCACCCCTTGATGGCTGATCTTAAGTTACATCACCTGGAGTTTTGCAGTTGGAGAAAAAGAGTGCTAATCATGGATTTGGGAGATTGCACCAGTCACCCAGGAAGGATGTATAAAGCAGACTCTTTGTACAGGTGAAACCTTTGTACAGTCTGCATGACCTTTCTGTTAAGTTGTGGGCGAACATATCAGACGACACAGCGATTCTTCCAAAGCAGCTCTTTATTTGTGAGCTGGAACTGAACTGAACTGAGGAGCTCAGTCAGCCTGCTTATATAGAGCTCCAGAACAACATAAATGTAGCAACTTTCTAAAACTATCCAATCAGTGAACGTCACTTTCGATCCTTCATTTGCATAACTATCTACAGTATCCCCCTGCTGGCCCAGGGTGAGAACTTCAGTACATAACACTTTCACTTCGCTATGTGATGGCAAGCATTGTAAACAATCACATAGGACCAGGCCATGAGACCAATTCATAGGTGAACTAGCTAAGGGGCTGATGCCATGAGTAGGCATTGTTGGGGGACTGCCAAGCCCCCAACAATTCTGCACTGTTAAATTCCACAGCCCTCCAATGTTATTCCTATTTTGCTGCCTGAAGTGGCATACATCACGCCTGCCCCTAGGTCAAGTTGCAGCATACCCAAGGCCAGTCAAGTTACTTTGGATAATCCCAGAAGCCCCTCTCCGTGGGAATAAAAATACAGCACCAGTAACTAACAACTTCCTGCCCATTCATGTTGCCCCAACTCTGCCTCACTCTGCCAAATGGGAGAGCTGGCCCTGGCAAGTGCACACATGGCAAATGCCAGAGTGTGACAAGAATGGGCAGTGGAGAAAGGGGAGGGACCAAGTTTGCCTAAGAGCCCACTGAAAGATGAAACAGCTGTGGGTCACTTTCCTCTGTGGTGCTCACTCAAGTGGGCTGCTCTGTTTTGTTCCAGCATGAATCTGAACTGCTGTTTTGAAATGTTTTTGTGATTTTAAAAAAGTAATTCACATTTAGAATTGCATTTAAATTCCTACATGAATTTTCTCTCACAATACACATTTTTAAAACTTAGTTTGGTAGGTTTTGTGAGAGGGTGGATAGCTGAATTCTGATCCAGCTATTACTCCAGGAGGTGCAGATCAGAATGGTTTGACCTGGAATTTGCAAAGATCCGATTTCTCAAGCCTGTTTATTGGCTCTGTAGGAACTGTTTGGGTGAAACAGGGGCATGTTTCAGGCTTGTGCGCTGGGCCCAGGCCTTCAGTTCAACTAGGATGGAGATGCCATTTGCAGTAATTGGACTCCTGTTTCAGGGCATCCTTGAGGCAAGTGAGGAGACAAAGCTACACTGCAAGATAATTTTCTGGGCAAGTCTCCCAAATGAAGATTCCAGGGGAAAGAGTGGCAGGCAGGCAAGACCACACAACAGACACATTTCTGCAAAGCTATTTCCCCCAAATATAATCCTTTTTTATGTGAGTTTCACTGAGGTATGCATTCTTATGAACCTATTCACATATACACAGCTGTGTGACACATTTTCTGTTTGGAGAACTGCATCACAAAATTTGGAGGAGAGTGAATTTCAAAGGACAGATCTCCTCAGCCCCAGGAGCAAGATTTATGGGAGCTGCCGCCTCTCAACTTCTAGAGGGCCACAGGTTTCCACATTCCTGCTCCCTAACACGAAATGTGTTTTTCAGGAAGGTTATGGGAGGCCAGATAAGTAGCTTCATTTTCCCCAAGGGAAGGAACACAACAAAGCAAAATGCAACAAAAGAGCTTTTCAGTCCCGGCATGGATTGCAACGTGTGTGTACTCACTGCTGAACAAGATGCCAAGTCATATGGTCAATGAATCGGCATCATTTACAGGAAAGCGTCTGATTTACTGAGAAACACAGTGAGCCAGTGTCAGCATAGATTATAGTCAGCCAATCACTGGTGACTCTTCAGAAACAGGGACAACAATCTGGATCACAATACCCATCACAGGCACCAAAATACCGAAATTTCAGAACTTGCATTTAAAAGTTACCAGCTCCGCCATCCCCACACACTAGGAGAGTTTTTGAGCAATTTTTAAGGAAATTCACCAAAATCTAGACTTGACATGGGTTGCCATTAGTGGATCACTGTGGTATATGTACCATTTTAGGTATGTGTTCATTTTATTCC